GCTGTGTCCCCTGCCCATGTCCCCCTGCCCATGTCCCCGGATGTGTCCCCTGCCCGTGTCCCCAGCCGTGTCCCCAGCCGTGTCCCTCCAGCCGTGTCCCCTGCCCATGTCCCCTGCCCGTGTCCCTCCAGCCGTGTCCCCTGCCCGTGTCCCCGGCCGTGTCCCCCGCCGTCCCTCAGGGGGTGGCCTCGCCGTCGCCGTCGCCGTCGCCGTCCAGCAGCCCGTAGCGCGCGTGGCTCTGGCACGGCCGCTGCAGGGGATGCGCCAGCAGCTTGGCCATGCAGTTGTGCAGCTCCAGCGCCGGCCCCGCCAGCGCCACCTCGAACTTGTAACTGGTGCCCTTGGTGTCCAGGCTGCCCAAAAACCCGAACATGTCCTGGGAGGGGACACGGCGGGGCCGCATCAGGGTCATTCTGACCCCAAATCCTGAGAAATCCCCTCCCTTTGTCCCCTCCCTTTGTCCCCTCCTTTGCCCCCTCCTTTTGCCCAAGTTTCCCCCCAAAATTCCGTCCTTTTGTCACCCCGTTGGTGCTGATCCCCCACCCGCCTCTGCCCTCCTAAATCCCCCCCATTCCCACCCCATTTCCCCCTCAATCCTCCCTTTTCCCTCCTCACTTCCCATTTCCCCCTCTTTTTACACCATTTCCCCCTTAAATCCCCCCTTTTTCCCCAAATTTCCCTTTTTTCTCCACAAGCCTCCTCCGACCCCCCACATCCTCACAAAAGGGGGGATTTGGAGGAAAAAGAAAATAAAAAAAAGGAAAAATGGGGAGAAATGAGGGGGGAAATGGGGGAATTTGGGGGGCAAATGGGGGGAAAAGGGCGGATTTGGGGGGGAAGAGAGGAATTGGGGAAATTGGGGGAAATTGGGGGGATTTGGGGGCATTTGTCCCTTTCACCTTCCAGCTGCTCTCGTCCTCCTTCTCGTCCAGCCCGTTGTGGATGTAAACCACGTCAAAGAAGAAATAGGGGCACTGCAGCAGCTTCTGGGGGGAAAAAGGGGAAATTGGGGGGAACTTGGGGTGAGATTTGAAGATTTGGGGGACTGAGGGGGAAATGGGGCAGGGAAAGAGGAGATTTGGGAGGAAAAAGGGGGAATGGGGAGAAATGGGGAGTTTAAGAGATCTGGGGTGGAAATGAGGAATTTTGGGCTGGAAATGGGGGATTTTGGGGTGGAAATGGGGGATTT